TATAAATGTAAATGTAAATGTAAATATAAATATAGTTAATGAAAATGTTAAATAGTATGGGAGCAGGGACTTCTCTGGGGTGAGAGATGGACAGGCAAATGCTCAATGGCCAGAAACTTTCTAAGAATCAAAAATACTTCAAACAAATCAAAAAGATGATACAGGCTACTTCTGTCAGTCCTGCAGGAGTGGGTTTTACGTGACTATGAATATTCACAGAAAGATTTTTCTTTTTAATGGATCAGGGTATAATATTTTCAGCTCTTAAACAGCGCTGTTTTTCAAGGGTGTTGGAGAGACAGTGGGAATTTGGTTGGTTTGGGTTGCTTTTTTTGTTGGGAGTGGTGGTGGTGGTGGTTTAAGTTTCTTTTTTCAAAGAGAGCAAGCTTTGTCCCTTGGATTTTCTCTTTACAGAGGTGCATTAGCCATAGTAGCTGGGACACCAGGACTAACATTGAGTTGACTTGGGATTTCTTGATAAGAGAAGTTGTTCATGTTGAAGGCTCTGGTCACAGTTTATTTTTCCAGTCCTCAAATATTTTTTTTTCATTATTTTTCTAGGAGTTGTAGTACAAATGGAAAAGCTATTACAAAAGTTAAGAAAACATAGGTCATTACAAAATTTAAGAAAATATAGGTCACAGATACAACCCATAAGTTGTCTTTCATCAGAATACAATTGCTATAGATCTTTTCTGTATCTTCATCATAATGCAGTTGCTGTAGATCTTTCGTATATCTTCATCATAAACTTATATTTGCTGGTAATTTTGCTTGAAATAGCGAGCACCCCAAATGAAAATGGCACCACAGGGTAAAATACTCAGGACAATTGCGATGACTCCTCCTGTACTAATCCCACAGGAGAGTGAGATGGTGGCCAGCTGAGCTCCAGCAAGCAACTTGGGTTCAGAGCATCTTGTTCCTTCAGAGTCTTCAATTTTATCCAGATTCTGCTTGTACCAGGTGATTAAAGCAATATTGGAGCAGGTGCAGTCCAGAGGGTTGTAACTTAAATTGATCACGCAGTGGCCAGCTATGGATGCTAGCTTGTCGCGTGGTACCATACGGATCCTGTTGTGAGCAAAATTGAGATAGATGCCATTGATGTTTGAAAATGCATCTGTGCTGAATGCAATAAGTTTGTTGTGACTCAAATCAACATGCTGCAACTTTCTAAGGCTGTGAAATGCTTGGTGGTCTATTGCTGTCAGTTCACAGGATGATAAAGTTAGTGCCTCTAAATTGGGCAGCTGCTGGAACAGTTTGTCCTTTGGCATGATCCCCAACTCAAAGTTATTTTGACTAAGGTCCAAGAGAATGAGGTTTTCTAGGCCTTGAAAGAGATTCTGAATGCTAGTATTAATGTGAGAGGCAGAAAGGTTGAGCACTTTCAAGAGATGCAGATTTTGGAAAGGACCCTGTAAAGCGTTGGTATGAAGAGGAGTGAAAGCTAGATCCAGCAGCTCCAGGTTAGTACTGTCCTTAATGAGCATGTCTTTGAGGTGGAGCTTTATGTTGTGGCTCAGATTCAGGTATCGAAGACTGCTCAAACCACTCAGCGCTCCGTAGCAGCAGTCAAAGCTTTCAATATGACTCTTACTTAAATCCAGATGTTGAAGGTTTGCCAGTGGCTCCAAACAGCCAGAGCCCAGCTGCAGGACCCGCGAGTTTCCCTTGATGTGGAGGTGGGTGAGGGAGGGGAAGGCAGCAGACCTAATGTCACAGAGGTGCTCAAAGGAGTTGGCGTTGAGAACCAACTCCTCCAGCAAGCTCGTGCTGCTGATGCCTGGGGGCAACGCGCTGATGCCGGTTTGAGTTAGGTCCAGCTTTCGGAACCTCATCAAGCATTGAAACATGTCCACATTTAGGTGTCTGAAGTGCCGTAGCTGCAGATAGAGATCCTTGACAGAGATATTACAGAGGCCTTGTAAAACATTTGGGCTTATGTCAGGTTCCTTTTCCACACCATGAAATGTTCCCAGCCAAAGGGTCTGGGCTGTGGAGTTCTGTATCCCTGCCAGGACTGCAGGGATGTCAGTGCAGCCCCCAAAGTCCAAACTGTAGAAATGGGACTGGAAAGCTCCAGGTTCAATGTATGTAATGTCATTGCTTTTAAAGATGAGAGTTATATTGCTGGTCTTCATCAGAATGCGGACGTCTTCTGCTGTGATTGTTCTTAAGTTGTTCATTTGAAAGTCAAGGTATTTGAGGTTTTGAGTGGGAAAGTTGGGAGGAAGCTGCAGGGAGGAGATGTGGTTGCTGCCCAAGATGAGGGTATCCAAACTGTCCAGATTTGTCATTGGAATAAAGGACATGGTGGTTATTCCTGTCTGCATTAAGACAAGTTGCTTCAAGGACCATGGGCCAGCAAACGCTGTGTCAGACAGAAACAGGAGGAGGTTTCCAGTCAGCACAATTGTCTTCAGCTGCTTGTTGCTGTGAAAGGCACCATCATACACCCAGTTGATCTGACACCTTGAGAAGGGAACAGAAACCAGTATCAATGGCCTGTCTTGCAACTCTCTCAGTATATGTGATAACCCAAACTGCACTCCATATCTGTAAAAACTCATCATCAGCTGCCTTCACCAGGCTAAAAGTGTCTTATCTTTTCTCATGAAACGTGCCTGGTACTGTAAGTTCATATTTAAATACAGGTTCCTGGTAAAAGGAAAAACCTTCCCTGAAACAATGACTATAAACAAGAATTTGTGGAACTCGGGGAGTTTTTAGTGTCCAGCTTAATGAAAGGAAATGAAAATCTCTCTTCCTATAGAAAAAGCTGCACATTTCCAAGGACCAAACCTATCTTTCTCTAGGTTTTAGGAAACAGTATCTTTATAGAAAGGTGAATATACAAATTGCTACAGTGACTTCGCTGTCTTAGCAGCGGTAATATCTGGAAAATGGGTATTTCACCCACTGTCCCGCTGTCATTAGAGAAGAAGCCTAGATACTGCCCTAGTGGATCCACCTCTGCTTAGCAGAAAACCCTTCACCAACTATCTGCAAAGTGCGACTGGTATTTTCCCTGTCAAGGCAGGGAGATGCTGCTGTGGTGTGCTCCAGAAGCCTCCAGCTCTGGCAGCAGCAGAGACCTTCACCAATGTGAGGTTAGGATGCTCCTTCCATACCTCGTTAAATCCAAGTATAGAAGAGATTTCAGCTCAGAGAAGGTTGAATTCTGGAGGGAAGGGAGCATGTTGAAGCTGAAGTCGAGGATTTCTGTTGTGACAGGTAGTTTTTCAGGAATCTCCCTCAGTGCTAAACCTTCACAGCTATAGCTTTTATTTACTGTAATCTGTGGAAAATACATAGTGAAAGTAAAAGACTTATGCAATGTGATTATAAATATGAAATTATGGCAATTGAAAACAATAAAATACAAAATTAGTTTAAAATTATTTTAAAATGTAGCAGCCAGAACCTTGAGAAGCCTCAGTGCAGACTTGCTGTGTTCAACCCTGGTTTCTTGCGTGTCTGTTTTTTGAACAAATGTCTTGAATGTCTCCTGCACTAATTTGACGTGTGTCTTATCTGTAGTATTTTCTTATCAAAGTTAGCACATAGGAGGATTGCTTCCTTTTCTGTATGAATTATTAATCCCTAAGAAAAAATCCCCACAAGGTACATTTAAATTCTGAATTTTGTGAGAATTGTAACAAAGCTTATTCTTAGAGAAGTCTGAAGAAAACCTTGCAGAAAGGAGGTAAAAAAGAGCAGGTCTAGGAATGTTTCTAGAAGGAATATGTCCAAATTAATTGGATCTGAACTGCAGTTACACGCTGCAGTGAGAGGATGAGTGGAAGGTTTAGCTCAGACTATACAAAAGTCATACCTGCTAGGCCAAGCCTTTAATATTTCTATGAAGGCTTTTCAGTTTAACTGAAAATAAATCAATCTATTATACAGAGATGTCTACTTTGTGGATCCTAGGGAAATTCACTACCTGACCTGGAATTGCCTGAGAGTCAACCAGAGCCTGGGACTATGGCGTACAGGGAAGTGCCACCCCAAAGTTGCCTGCTGCACTGCTCGAGGTGGTGGCGATGCTCAGAGCATCGTCCCAGCTGCCAAGACATGATGAGTAGAGTGGGCACAGCCCCCTGCTCACCCAGCGCTGCACCTAGAGGGCAAGGGGATGGCTTGTCCTGGGTGGCCACAGGGACAGCCTCAGAGGATCAGGCTTGCTGGAGCTGCTGCAGCTTGCAGGAAGCTTGGAGATGTTCTGCTTACTGGGAAGTAAACACATGTATTGCACGGTTAACTAGTGTGACTGTTTTAATTACGTTCAAAACTACAATATCAGCCAGAGAGAAGTAAGCACAGGTGGCAGTGGGTTGTCCAGACAGAAATGCCCTGAAACCTGGGGTCCATGACAAACAAGGGACGGTGCAGGTGTGTACCCCGTGGGGCCGAAGGACATGGCCCCTGGGGTTTTGGTTGAGGTGCGTATGCATGGGCTCTGGGGAGCTGTGCACGGGATTTGGGGTTTTTGCTTCATGTAGAGTAGTGAGTGAGACCAAACCACATCTCTGCCCATCTGTGGCTTAGGAGAGGCAGGCAGGCAGTGATGGCACTCAGTAGTCTTGCAGGAGAGGAAAGAAGGGCAGTATTCATTGCAAGTCACTTTCTTCCTTTTCTTTAAGAAGAAGCCCTGTAACTGGAGGGTGCCAGGGGAGTTTCACAGTCCTGCACTGCTGCAGGCAGCCCAGCCTGGAGGGCAGGGGCAGAGAGGTGGTGGCAGTGAAGCTGGGGGAAGTAGAAAGTGACTTGTCACAACAAAATGCCTGGTGTGAGTGGGGAGTGCAACTTCTCCACCGTCCTGCTACCCACCCTGGCATGCTGGGTCCCAGCTGGAGCTCAGTGCCAGGCAGATGGCGCTGGGGATGGCAGTGGCAGGGAGGGATGAGTCAGTGCTGCCTGTGGCTGAGCCACACGTGTGCAGGTGCTTGCCATGGCCTGGGTTGGAGAGAGCCAGTCTGATGCCTGCTGTAACAACACACAGCCAAAGCATGGGGACTCAGATCCAGTCTAGAAGCACCAAAATGACACTGTGCTGTTATCTACATAAATGACAAAATACTAACTTAGAAAAGCTGATAACATTCAGTACTGATAAGTGAAGAGGAACACGTGGAGCTGACTGCTGCAGAATGCTCTTCAGTCAGATAAAAAATATTTGCCTATCACTATAAATGAGAGTAGTGCGTAAGTTTTATCATTCAAATAAAACTGTGTAAGGAACCTTTCTCCATATACATTGGGGCATGGAGTGGCTCTCACAGGTTGCTGAGGAGCAGCCATCCTGTGGGGGATCCTGCTGTGCAGCTCTGAGTGCTTGGGGATTTGTAAGTTTAATTCAGTGAGGAATTTGCTATCGGCCCCAAACATGTGCTGCATAGGACTGGATTTCCACTGTTCTTCTTCCCTGAACCAAAATCCCTGCCCTTTTTTGCTTTGTCTCCCACTTAGAAAAGAAAACAAAAGAAAAATCTTATGGATCAGCCTTCTCTCCTACCCCTGGAGAAACCTTGGTACTTTCTTACTGTTCTCATGTGGTATCACACTGACCTAATGGCAAATAGAGACACAATTATCTCACCACTGTGTGCAAATTCCTGAGTGGAGAGCGCAGCACAAGAGGCAGAATCCTCCTATCTGTCCTCTGTCTGGTTTTGTTTCCTGATAAACAACTCTGTGAAACTTTATCGCCTGATGAGCTCTCTGGGAGGTGAAGTGCGACACTGTTTTGATGAGCTCTCAAGGTTCCCAGAAATGGGAGAGAGTGTGAGGGTGCACGATGTGTGGGTGCAAGGAAGAGGAGCAAGAGGCAGGACAGTAACTGATATCCCTGCACACATCTGCCATATGTCTCTGACAAAGGCCTTCAGAGCCCCCTGAGAGAAATCCCTTGGGAACTGAGAACAGTCAGAGGTCATCAGGCAAGTATTTACCAGAGACCGTACGCACCGGTGGCGGTCACTCACCTCCACGCACATTGTCCCTGCGATGCTGGATGCTTCGCAGCTAATGCAGGCGAGTGCTGTGAAAGTCAGAAGATGCAAATCACAGGCCATTACAGAGAGAGGAGAGTTGCCAAAATGGATGATCTTGTGCTATCTTTCCTTAATGAAAACAAGATCGAGCAGCAAAGGTCAGACAGACTGGGCAAGTCAGCCAGAAAGCACGTTGTAAGGAAAATAAATGCTTGCCGAACCTCCCGAGATCAGTGTGAGAAAAACAGTCATTTCAGAGTGAAAGGGGAACTTCCCTGCTTTAAATATAGTCAAATTACTGTGCACTTTCCTGGGGCAGAAGAAATTTTTAAAACATGGAAACTGAGGGAAATTGGTCTTTATTCTCATGTAGAGTGAAATGTCTCCACTAAGTACGGGGTATTTCAGTGTGAAATAGAAGACAGAGCAAGAAAAGGGCAGATGAGAATACACCATCCCACAAAAGGGCAATCCAAAGCACTGGAAGATTTGAGTTGAACAAAATTTGATACATCACTTATGAAAATCATAAAAAAAATTGTACAACAACTGAAATACAGGCACAGGCTCTGTGCCTATATTGCTGCAAAAAGAATTGCAATGCTGAAATCTACTTCCCTCAGTAGAAGAAGTAAAGCTGAAAAATAATAGTTTAATGTGAAAATGAACTCTTTTCCTCTTGTGTTTATATTAGGGGCAATGATCAGTTTTCTGGAGGGTGACAACATTTCTAACCATCTCTAAAATGGACATGTGTTTGGCAGCTGCAGAAAGGAGGGGTCCTATGCCAGCTGGACAAAGGCTGGTTGTAGAATCATAGAACAATTCAGTTTGGAAAATATCCTTGGGATCATTGAGTCCAACCATTAACCTTACTCTATAAAATTCACTCCTAAACCATATCCCCCAACACCACATCTAAATGGCCTTTAAACACATCCATGGGTGGTGACTCAACCACCTTCCTGGGCAGCCTATTCCAATGTCTGACTACTCTTTCTGTGAATTTTTTTTTTCTAATGTCAAATCTAAACCTACCCTGTTGCAGTTTGAAGCCATTCCCTCTTGTTCTATCACTAATTACCTGTAAGAAGAGACCAGCACCGACCTCTCTACAATGTAGAGAGTGATGATGTCTTGCCTCAGATTCCTCTTCTTCAAACTAAACAGACCCAGCTCCTTCAATCATTGTTCATAAGATTTATTCTCCAGGCCCTTCACCAGCTTCGTTACTCTCCTCTGCACTCACTCCAGCACCTCAACATCTCTCTTGTGTTGAGGTTTCCAAAACTGGACAAAATTATTCTTATTGCCCAGGATGGTGTTGAGCGCCGCCTCTAGCAAGGCAGCTCAATCTGTCTTTTTTCTTTTTTCCCTTTTCTTAAATGGCTGGGTTATTATCTGGACAACTTTGTTCTCAGCAAGCTTAAGCAGCATTCTTTCTTCACCACCTAGTAGAGAAAGGCAGGATGAAAACACATCAGATTTAGCAACATGCCCCGGGATGATGGGGAGAGGCTGGACAGGCTGAACGGTGGAGGTGATCCAGCCCCGGTGACATGATCTGTGAAGCACCAAGCAATCAAGATTCCATCTGGAGAACATCAAGTTCAACATGCAGGAAAATGGAGACATCTGGGCTTCTCTAGTGCCAAGGATGTGCACAAAAGCTGTGGCTTCAATTCTGATATAATATATGAAGGCTGTGGCTGCACTGGTAGCTGGAGCTGATGTGTCTCTTGGGATGTGCTCATCTCTTGAGGTGTCTGGGGAGAGAGAAGCAATCAAACGTGGTGGGAGCAAAGCTTAAAATTCAATTCAGAGGTCACTCCACTTTTCATCTTCACGTAAAACTTTCATGTTGGCTGTTGGGGCTGGTGGGCACAGAGAGGTCAAAGCACAGTGCCCTGCAGCTGTGTTTATCTCATGCTAGGATGCTTCCCTGCAGATACGATTTGGATTTTATTTTTTTCTTCCCTCCTTTATTTTTAAAGTACAAAGGAAAATAACTCCTCTGAACGACCAGCTGAAAAGCTCATTCCACATCTCACTAGCAGATCTGCTTCTTTTGCAACCAGCTCCACATTTGCTGGAAATCCTGCTCACCCTGCAGCTGACAGCAGAAACTTCAGAGGGGTTTGTTTGGGATGCTTTCTCCTTGTTTACTGTCACTTTCCATGCTAATGTTCAAATGCCAAGGCTTGCTGTGTCACTTTCATACAGGCTGTGCCTTCTGAGCATGCCGCAGCTTGGACTCGCACCTTGTGTCTTGTTTCTGGCAGGCTACAGGCCCTGGCACTGTGGATGCACCCTCAAACCGCCCCTACCAGAAACCTCCAATTTGACATGAATGTATTTTTTTGTGAGAAATGTCCTTTGAATCAGGAAGGGATATCAACCAGAGTTAATCCTGCAGTTCAGTGAAGTATATTATTATGTGTCGTGGAATTTATGTGTGATGTAACGAAGTAGAAATAACTCCAAAGTGGTTTATTTTGGTGTGTTTGCTGGTTTTTTTTTTGGGGGGGTGAGGGCTCTTTTTTGAGGAAACAGGAAGCCTTGTGATGCAAATAATGAATTCCAGGGCCTGCTTCAATTTCATAATTAAGAATTCATTATGAAATTGGTATCATGTGACTGAAATTCCTTTTCTCATCCATGTGCACAAGCAATTGCTGAGCTTAGTAGAAATGACTAATGATTAGAGATATTTGAATTATTCATTACGTGTGCCTATCTGATGAATTTAGCTCTTTTTGCTTGCAAAGCAAAATGAGGAGGGATAAAAATTGATGGCCATAATTAGTGGGAGTAGGTTTTGGTGCTGGCAGGGACCTTGCTATGGGTACCTGCAGTGGGTGAGGGCTGGGCAGGCTGCAGCTGCAGACTGATTCACCTCTTGTGTTAAACAGGGAGTACTCATTTTCTGCATGCTGGTGTTTGCTGTTCCCGAGTGCCAGGTGGATCCTTCCTCCACCACTGTCTTCAGGGGAGCTGTCACACCACAGGGTTTGCTGGGAGAGACCCTTCATGAGCATTTTTCTGCTGACAATTTTGATTTCTCTATGCTTGGCTGAAAACTCTTCCTGCTCTGATGATGGGAAACTTAGGAGCATGCAAACACCAGTGGTAATAACTGGCCTTAGCATGGCATTGTTTGTTGCTGAGCACTTGTGAGATGCTGAATGCTGCAGAGGGCTGAGCACATGAGCCCCTTTGCAATGCCCATCCCATACCATGCCACCCCATAAACTAGTCACCCTGCCCTGCAATCAAAAAATCCTCTGGAGAGGGGTGTGCATCCCCCAGAGGTCCTCCATTTTAAACTGATTTCTGAGCTAGGCAGGAGGAAAAGCTCATGAGGCTCACCAAAATGTGGTGAGTCACCCACAGTGTGTGCCCATGGGCAATGGCTCCTCCACTACTTAAAAATCACCAGCCATGTGGTGTTGGCCCTAGAGGGGACCACAATGGTAAAGGGCTGGTGTGTTCCTCAGCCCAGCCAAGTGGCTCAGACCTGGACATCATATAGGCTGTTGGCACAACATCACAGGATGTCAATTCCCATCCCCTCCACAAGAAAGGTGTGTTCCGTCTCTGAGTAGGATTCATTTAAATGATTGCTTTAAATGCTGGATGTCAGGAGCTCACACCAGGGTTTGCCTAGAAGCAGTAGGATTTGGGCTGTGGCTGTTCCCCTACTGCAGCCATGTCATTGTTCTGAGAGGAGGCAGAGCAGCTGAGGAGGACCAGGGCCACCTGCCCTGCCCCAAACCCACATTTTCCGGCAGGAAGACCTGCATGGGCTCTGCTGACAAGGCAGAAGGTAGGGCAGGCTCAGGAAAAGATGATTGTAGAATCACAGAAACATAGAATGGTTAAGGTTGGAAGGGACCTTGAAGATCATCTGGTTCCAACCCCCCAGGTCTCCAGGGACACCTCTCTCCCACTAGACCAAGTTGCTCTGAGAGAAAGACAAAAACAAGGTAATGTTAGCAAGAGCATAAATCACCCGCAGGGAGAAAAAGCTGCCATAAAAATGCCAGCTTTTACCAAACTTTATGCGAAACGCCTCTACTTCATGCTGCAGTAATTGATCTTTCTGAAACCCTAAGTGATGGCAGGAGACAGCAGCCAGATATGCTCTCCAGGTCACGCTCTCCATGTACATGAGCCATGTCCCTTTGCCTACGCTCAGGGGTGATGGGCACACAAGAGGGACAGGAGATGCAGGACAGTGCCTGTGATGCCCGGCACAGCTAGGAACGAGCCTATCTGGTTTGTGTTTCAGGCAGCTGGGGCCAGGCTGCAGCATCCCTCTGCCCCAGAGATTCCTCTTTCTTTAATTTGCTTCTGCTCCTTGGTGGAGGACCAGACAAACAGCTTCTGTCCTCTGGCATTGATGATTAAGGCTGATGCTGAAAGCAGGACAGAGATTTAATCTAGAATTTCCTTGACTTGAGCAAACCTCTGGCATAGGTAGTGGCATAGATGCCCCTTGAAAAAAGAGAGAGAATGTGACCAGGTTTGTGATGTGAGCACTCTATGTAGAACTTTCCCCAAAAAGTAAAGTGAGAGCTCCTCTGGACACTTCTCTGTGGATGGGGTGTTCTCGTGTGGATTTTATTTGAGGCAGCCTTCTAAAGAATTGATGGTGAAGGTGCTCAGCCATGGTGCTGCTGCGGCACCAGGTCCTGTAGCTCTTGGCTTTGGAAAGCCTGTTGGGTTTGTGTCTGGTAGGGTTTGGGTAGTAGGGGGCTAGGAGGCTGGCTCCTGTTAGAAGCTGCTAGAACCTCTCCTTGGCTACAAGGCATAACCCACTCTGGCTAAGGCCAAGCTAATCAGCACCTCTGCAATAAACATATTTAAGAGCAAAAAACCTGCTGGGCTAGTTCTTTTGTGTTGGGGAATTTGTTTGGGAGAGAAGGGACAGGTGAGAGTAACAACCATGAGGACACCAAGGTCCGTGAGGAAGGAGGGGGGAAAAGGGCACTGTAACAGAGGTTCTACTGCAGCCCATGGTGACATGGAAGCCTGAACCCCTGCAGCCCCAGGAGATTGACAATGGAGCAGAATCTCAT